AAAGTCCGGCTCCGAAATCTAGAGGGGATATCCCCAGGAAATAACACCTTGAGTTCCCACACCGTCGTCTCGACTTGTTTGTGGGATAGCTGGATCAATCTTTCCAACACAAGGTTCCGTTTAACCCGGCATGGCTTTTTCTGGCTGCTGCTTCTGATCTCTTTTCCTACTTTTCCTCTCCCCTCTATTTAAAATCTGTTATCTATATACTGGAAACCAGTCGTGTCAGGAAGACCCACAGAGCCAGATTTCAAACCCATAAACCTGATGCAGTTGCTGAGACTTTTGAAGATGAGCACAGCTTTTGCTCCAGCCTTGTTGTTTTGAGTTTATTTGCTTGTTTCCTTTCTTTTTCATCCTCCCTTTCTTATTTATCTTCCCTCTCTTTAAAATATCTTGCTAGTATCTGCAGGAAGCGCTGGGCCATGCCGTGCATTTGCAGACTTTCCTCTACCTCTTTCCGCCTCTGGTTGTTGGCCCGGTGCCACCCTCGCTGCGCTACCGCAAGAAAGGACGAGGCTGAGCACACAAATGCAGATCCTCCTTTGCCAGAGACGAAACGGCTTCGGCACTTCAAGATTTAAAAAAAATAGCATAGATTATGGTGTTTTATGAGTCAAACGTGTAGTAGCTGGTGGTGAGTTGAGCTGTCTGAGGCGTTCCAGGGCCGGGTAGGTCCTGGCCTCACGGTGCTTTGGAGGTTGCGATGATTTTAGGTGTTTGTTCCTTCTCTTGCTCCGGTTTGGGTTGGCATCCTGCTCCGAGACACGGTCCCACCAGCGCAGGRCAGCTTGGTAAGTTTTGCCTTTCTCCATAGAAACGCTCTCTTTTCCCAAAGCTGGGAATTTCCTTCCCTTCCTTCCCTTTGCTTGCCTGTATCTGATAGAAAATTGGAGCAAATGAGTCAGAGACCGAGGCTGGAGCAGCCGTTGCAGAGCGTTCAGCAGGACACGCTCAGTGCCGCGTGGTCCCRCCGAGGGTGGAGACGTGACCAGGAACGTTGCAATTTATAGACCTCATTGGTCAGCCCGTGCTTTTTTAGCCAAGCAAGGTATTTTCTTCTGCAAAAGTTTGGCTCAGGGATGATACCAAAGAAACTTTTTGTTTGCTGGTGTCTTCTCTGTATTTCTGTGGGAGGCTGTTAAAAAGGGAAGGATGAGAAAGAATTGACCCGGGATGGTGAAATCTTAGAGGACAGATTTCTCTCGTTGCTGGCAATCTCTCTTCACAACTGCAGTTGAGATTTTTGTGCTCAATGGAAATAGACTGTTTGACTTCTAGAATGGTAGAGTTTTTATATACATTTTTGTTAATAATTCTTGAGCAAATATTAGCATTTTTGGTTTTGGCTCCTACTTAACCAGCTTGAACRTGCTCATGTATAAAATTACCGCTACTACAGAAATTGCTCATCTGTACAAAGTGACTTTTTCACAATCAAACAGTACAAAATGTGTATAAAAGCTTTTTATTTCTGGTAGAAAATACTCCTTTATCTTTCAGTAAAACCAAGGGCTTGTGTATGAGATATGCTAGAGAGACATAAAAGGTGAAGCTCGGCATACAAAAACAAATTAGCAAGAGTGTGTTTGCTCATGAAAGTGATTGAAAAACAGAGTTATGAGTGTGCAAACAAGTTAGCACTTGTGAATACCCATTTGTCTTCTCTCCTGCATCCATCCATCCCTGGATGCACTGATATGTGGATGGGATGATTTGCAGGAGCTGGTGGGCTGGAACATCCACTGCCCCATTGCTTAATTATGTGCAACAAAGCTGATGTTGCWTGTGCGTGAACTTGTATATGGAAAGAAATGGGTTTCTTTGCACATGGAAGTGATTATTTGGCCAGTCTGGCTGGTGAGAAGGTGAGGGAGCAGCGGTCAGCATAGACGTTCTCCTGGTGTTGCAGAGGACCGTCCTTGTGTATAATCTGCTTCCAAATTTTGAGGCTTTTGAAGTCATGGAGGTCCTTTAGTCGTGAGTTCTGCAGGCTGCTCTGTGGGTGCCTATCTGGAGAGGCTCATAAGTGGACTTGAAGCTGATGGGAAATGGATGGAGGCTGTTGGAGGCGCTCCATTCTTTAATCATTCTTTAATCTTGGTGCTGTCGTCCTCATGAACTGGTTTGGGTGCTGGCTGCCGCTTTGTGTGCTGCGAGTGGCCCTGAGTGCAGTGATTTCTCATATATGACAGCTGAAAGGAAAATTGCCCTAGACAGAAAAGTCTGTGTTTCCTTGATAAAGGAAGGCCGTTTGTTTAGTCACTTTACACTTGCAGTGGCTCAGTTGACTTCAGTGCCTGCATGATCAGATTTATACAAATTGCCAAAGAAACTGTACACTTCCTTCTGCTTCTCTATGGAAATATTGATTTTGTCTAAATCAAGAGTAATTCTATTGAAGTCAATTGAGTTACGCTATGGTGAATGGGAGAAGACGTCGGTCCGCTTTGTCTGAGTTTGCCTTGTGTGCGCTGCAGTTTTTAACCCAAAATGAGTCACAGGACAGGGAGGGACATCCTGCTAGGGCAGAGTGGTGGCAACCGCTGCCACCGACGTTGTCTGCAGGGTTTTTTTTCCTCTCTGCCAGTTACTCCACCCTGCTCTCCTCTTGCTTTGATCATTGCTACTTTCTGTTCTTTATAAATTGCACAGGTTTGTGGACAGTGTCCCTATGGGTTTCTTTGAGCTGTAGTAGATGCTTGCCCTTTAGAGAGAGTTGCTACTTTTACTGTAAGAAATCAAGGTGGCAAAGATGCCTAAAGCAGTGATTTTGCCTGAGTGCCTGTATATGCTTCCTGTATACATACTTTTTCAAATATCCGTAATCATTTGCATACAATCCCAGCTCCATCCCAGGCCCTTGTAGGGTAATCCGTGGCTGTGCTGCAAAGGGAAACTTCAGGAAGCCTGTTGTGACTCAGGGCTCGTCTTCACAAAGGGAAAGGGCCATGTTCTGGCTCAGGCTCTCTCTCATGGGAACAGTCCTAGTGAAAGAAAGACGAGGGCTTTTGCAATCCTCCTGCTCACAAACAGGTCGGCGTGAACCCCAGGTCCCTTGACTTTACCTCAACATGTATGAAAAGTAGAAACTGCGTCATCTTTCCAAGAGAAACAAACCCTTTTGAGAGCCATTTCTGTCTCTTTCTCAATGCCAGAAGYCTCTCCTGGAGATAGAGGTGCTGCACAAATCAATCTGGCCTTTAATAGGTAAAACAGATTTTTTTTAAAATTATTTTCTGAAGAAATTCTGATTCAAAGTGAAATCTGCAAACCTGAAGTTCTAGATAAACACCTTGATAAGATAAAAGTTTTTTCAACCCCTTTAAATGACAGCAAAGCTTCTGCAAAGCTTGGTGGCACTAACCGCAGGAACAGAATTGCTGCCTGGAGCTGCAAGTTCATGCAACTGCAAGGTTTGACGTTTGAATTAGAGCTGACAGGATAGAAATTTCTATTGAACTGCTGAGTAATTTTTTCATTCTGATCTGCAGCTGCATTCTTTTTCCTTTTCTTTTGATGGGTAAAGAAGAAACCCAGCAATGCTGCTGCAAGAAGCACTGCAGTCTCGCAGTACTGAGAACGTTCTGTGTGAGACAGCCAGTATAAAAGTAGTTTCACAGGAGAGACAAAATGAATTTCAGAAATGACCAAAACTGCTGCTTTTTGACGACTCCTGGGCGTGTGCTCTGTGAAACAAGGTGCTTGAGGGTAGATGGGGCGAGTAGGCTTGAGGGTAAACAGGAGGAGTAGGCCTGAGGGTAAAGGGAGGCTAAAAAGGCAGATTGGGAGTGATAAAATTTTCCAAATCTCATAGATTATTGAAAGTCTTCGAGGTTACAAAGAAATACCCTTTTTTTTACTTCACATTTCTCCAAAACTTTTTCAATATTTTTGTGAAATGTTATTTAAAGGAGGTAGAATTATTGTGGGTTATGCAATCCGAAGGAAACATGATCCTTGTTTAGGATGGCTTCTGCAGCAGTTGAGAGCTGTTACTGTCCCCACTTCATAGCAASGTCATTTCTGTCAATACYGTCCAGATGTGTGTCCTCACGGTCTGTCTAAGCATGGTTTTCCCTGCGAGCAGGGCCCCACCCCAGTGCCTTCACCTCCCTGTTTATTCCTGCTTGTTCTCCTCCCRCTGCTTTTCAGTGTATTTTTCTCRATTCAGCTCTCTCATTCCATCAGTTTATCGAATTCCATCAGTTTGTCTCAGGAAACAAAGCATGTGGGCTCACTCCAGAGTACTGCCATTTAGTTTTTCTTGTTTTAATTATGTTTGAATTGTTTTAGGTGTTTGTAACTTTTGTCTTAAGCAGTATTTTGATATATATATAAGGCACACAAAGTCAAACTGCAAATGATTTTGCTGTGTATTCTACTGAATATCTACTGAGAGGGAATAGGGTGAGGGTAAAGACTGAATAGGACATCTTCAAAACTCACCTGGATGCCACCCTGTGCCACATGCTCTGGGTGTCCCTGCTTGAGCAGAGGGGTTGGACTAGATGATCTCCAGAGGTCCCTTCCAGCCTCAACCATTCTCTGATTCTGTGCAGCCGTTGTTTACGTTGTTGTAAAAGCTGTCATTCCTTCTAGTTTGTTCTTCAGTATTTGCCTCAGGTATCTGCTCTACCACAATAGTTGCTTTGTGATCTTCACCTGCAAGAAACTTAATTTAAAAAACAAATATCTTATTCTTTATCTCTAATCTTTCTTTGTGTTCTTACGGTTTGAGAAAAAAATAAAGGACTTTTCTACCCGAGGCTAAGTCAGACTTGGAAGGACTACGTCAAATGCAGCTTGTTTCTGCCTTTAGCTCTGAATCAAATTCATTCTCGGAGCTKAGCAGCATCCGTGTGTGCATTTGTCTGTCTGGCCCTGGAGCCGGTGCTCTGCTTTGCTTGGGCCATTGATTAGATGAGTGTCCAGAGTGAAGGACCGCGTACGTCCTGCAGTGCAGCACTGCAGATTAACCTGGCTGCGTTTTATTTCAGAGAGGAAGCTAGAGAGCCGGCCTCCTGGAGCACCCTGTCGCACACGGTGCACGCGGGGGACTACTGYGTGAAGCACCACCGGGGGCTTGATGTCTACATGCTGACAGCTGAAACCCGGGCAGGGCGAGAGGGCAGCTTGGAGGATGACATACGGCAGCTTCGGAAGCACATGCACACGGTAAGGAAAAGGAGCGGGTGATTCAACAGGAACATACCCAGCGTGTTTGCTGGCTTTCGGAGCAGCCTGGTGTCTGAAAGGGCTTTCCACTCAGGCGGTCTTTGGGGGTGTATTTACAAATGGGTCTTGATGTTTTATCTGGATGTCATTATCAAATATCCAGGTAGACACATGCCTGTTTGCTTTTTGACTGGGGACAGGGATGAATCTGGGGAAATTGCTTTAGGAAGCAAGTTTTCTCTGTGGGTCTGGCAGCAAAAGTCAAGTGAGCTACGTGCCAGGCTGGTGGGACCTCTCTGTGCTCCCGGCTCCTGCAGGATCCCTGAGAGCAGCTGAGCTGAGAGTTGTCTAGAGGGCACAGAAACCTTCCCTATGGCACAACATTCCTCCGGGGTGGCCAGGAAGTGAAAGATGTGGTATTTAAATACTGCTAGTCCAGGAATTTTATATTCCTTTCTTTAGGAAAGGGGAGATCTATGGTTTTTAGGCAGTAGGTTAGGAACAGGTTTAGAGGAACTGACTGCTCTGGTCTTGCTCTAAACGTGACTACTCCTATCTCAGCAGAAACTGGAGGCTTGAGCAGCAAGCTAGCACTCACCATAAAGTCACCTTACTGCGCTTCTCCTTTCCACAGAACGATGCTTAAAACCGGTCCGTGTGTCAAGCTCGTCTTTTGTTTGCTAGTGCAAGAGCCAGATGGGTGCGATTTGTCTGACAATGAGTTCAAAAAGGGCTATGTTTAGATGCTTTTTTTCTTTCTTTCCAGCACTGTTTCACTTCATGTCTAATCTGATTTGAATTTGGAAAACAGCCCTGTAATTATTTCATTTAGGTTCATTCAAGGTCAGCTAAAAGCCATTTGGCTTCCTCTGGAGAAGGCTCTATTTTTCAGACTCTAGTCAGGATGACTTGGACGCCRGGCTCCCGCCGCCCCTCCTTTCGCCAGTTCCCAAACAAGTGTCACTTTTGTCTGTCCGTGCTGGCTGGAAACCAGTCGAGCAGTCTCGTGCTGGGCTGCAGGGTTATGGCCACCAAAGTGCTGACGCGCTGTCCAGGCTGCTTCATTTGCACACAAAAAAAGCACAGAAAAGCACGTCCAGCCCTCGCGTTGCTGKGCCGGAGAGGTTGGCTTTGCAAGACAGCGCTGCCATCCTCACCACATCTCACCTGTCTTGGACCACTTCATTAAACCGGAGTGTGCACGAGGATGAGAGCGTGCACGGTGAGATGGGCAGCGGGGTGGTTTTAAGCAGGACCGTCATCACAAACACCAGAAGTGCATTTAGTGGTCTGTGATTCAGTGATTTGGTGGCAGTGGTCGTAGTTCGCAAACCTCAGTAATGCGGAAAGAATAGTTAAAGCAATAGCAGTGAAGGAGCAGCCATGATTTTAGCCACAATTTGTATATGCAACAGGCTGAAGCTCTCTGGGATGCCTCAATTACCATATTGAGCTTTGGTAAACTGGGGAAAAAAGGAGTGTTGGTCTTTCCGACATGAAATTTAATTTCTCCGAGAATTTTCAGAGGCTTAAACAAAATTGGGAGGACCCTGCTTAGGGTAAACGGCTAAGCTTTATGTATTGTTTGAATATGCCTATAAATAAATGCAAAGTAGAAATAGTTTGAAAGAGATCATTAGAGCATTAATATTGCATTTCCTGTAATTCATAGGARCTGCCCACCTATTGAATAAGAAACCAATGTGAACTTAGAAAGCTCTCAATGTAAATCCCTGAGCCAAGGTCTCATTGTGTTAATCCAACCAAAAATCTGGGAGACTTTTGACACAACAGTTATACTGGAACAAAAATGTGGGTTACACAGGAATAGAGAATGTTGCTACTGCTCCACAGTACAGCACATATTAATTTTAACAGTCTGCTATCATTCTCAAGTTTTTATTTCCATTTGGGAGATAAGTTCCAGATTTTTATTTACGTATGCCTTTCCCAACAACAGATTGTGCTTGGGCAGAGTGGGTCATCATCAGCCAATTCCAGTGTTTGAAATAAAATTTCCGTCAGTGTAACAAAACGGAGCAATACTGAGCAGACAGTGGTGCCTATTTGAGCAGGAATCTGGAGTTGCTCTTGAGCAGCATTTGCTCGGGGCTTTTGGGACTAGAGTGGTATATTTTTGCATTATTTGGTGGATGGAATTSTACTGTTAACTGAGCTTGAGTTTAAGGGTACTCATGAAATATGACTGCAGCTGCTGGAAGTGGAATTACAAAGACGACAGAGSCAAAATTCTTCTCAATAGTAGTACATGATCTACTGTGGGGCCAGAGAGACAAATTTCAGTTTGGGATGGGGGGTCCATATTCACTAAGAGAGTGGTGGGGCACTGGAACAGATTCCCTAGAGAATGGTGGAAACTCCATCATTGGAGGTTTTCAGGACTTGGCAATGCAGAGTGCTGCAGATCTTGGGCTGCAGATAGTTCATCTTGAGGCAGGAGGTTGGACTAGACACTCTCTGAATGCTCCTTCAAACCATTGTTTCTGTCATTCCGATATTTTCAGTATTACTGACACTGAGACCACACATTAAACCAGGCATTGTTGTACGTTTGTAACTGTCTTAAGTAGCTATGTAGATCGGGATTCTCTTGCATTATTTTGATAYAGATTTTATGCATAGTGGATATACTTTAAATGTGTGACGGAGCAAAACAATCATATTGGGTTTTTTTCTTTCTTTTTGTACAGAATATAAGGAAGCAGACAGAATCTGCCCTGAGAGACTCTGGGAATAGTTGTGGCAGAGGAACAGAGCCAGATGGTCACCCAGTCACTACATCTGAGAGCCTAAAAGAAATGGCAAGAGAAGGAGGGAAGGAAAGTCCATCTGATCTTGTCCAACTTGACAGCAAGCAGCTCTTGGCCCAAACCTGCCAGGAGGACAAGTGCAACAGCGAGAGCTTGGGAGCTGCCAGCGATGCTCCAAGTGGCTTAGAGAGCCTGGGGGCTGCAGAGAGCTCCTGTGAAAGTAAAAATACAGTGACGTTGACTGAAAAGGAAGAGGAGGAGCCAACCTCTGTTGCAGACTCTGGGACCGTGTCCGACAAAAAGGGCAGCACGCTCAGCGTGAGCGCGGCCGTAAACGGTGCTGTAAGTCTCCCATCCTGTGGAAATACAAATGAGGAAGCTGGAATGACATCTGCTGGAGTTGTTTTAGATCCCGCCAGCTTGTGCAGTAAAGATAGCACCCATCAGGAAGCGCAAGTTGCTGAAGAGAGTGCAGCTGAAAGTGCTGTTACAGTGACTGAAACTGCAGACAAAACCCCAGCTTCCCCTCTGGATGTGGCCATGGGCCAAACCGAATGCAGGAACTGCACAGGGACGGCTGATAAGTCTCCCGGCCGGCAGCAGGTAGAGGATGGGATGGCTGAGACCAGTGCAATGAGGACTGCAGATCTGAAAGAGCAACAGCCAGCCAAGGAGGCGTCAGCCAGCACTGCTCAGCCCTTGCTCGGGGATTTTAATGGCACTGACTGCGCAGAGGAGGATGCAACTGTGCAAGTGGTCCCGGCATGTGACAGTAGCAGTGCAGATGTTGGCACTGATGATCTCTCTGTTGGCCCTGGCAAGACCAGTGATAACAGCAAATCTGGAGCAGATTCATGCACTGATCTGGTAAACAGCGGCTCCCTAGAAGGCCCAGGCGAGTCCCTTGTCAAAGAGAGGCAGGATGTCACTGTGAACACTGGGACAGCACTGCCAGCAGTGAATGGTGTGAAGGCACCAAAACACGATCCTGTTTTGGAAATCCATGCCATCAGTAAGGATGGGGAGCAAGAAGAGCAGTTAGGAGGTGACAGTGCGGATGCAAAATCTAGCTCGCTGTGTCCAGGAGACAGCGTGGAAATTGATGGTGCTGATGCTAAACCTGAAAGTGACGAAGCTGATGGACCTGCTCAAAACGGTGGAGAACCTGTGCCTTGCCAGGAGGGCAGCAAGAGCAGCAGATTTGCAGCCCAAGCCGTGGAGGGTAGTGGAGCCCACGAAGAGGAAGCAGTAGGAGCTGATAGCAGCTGCGGAGGGAGCTGCGCTTCTGCAAACGGGGCTCAGGAAGTTGCGAGCTGTCGCCCTTGTGCCGATGCAACTGGCGCAGGAGATGAAATGGGTGACAGCACAAAATTAGACGCTGCTCAGGAGAGCAAGCACGAGATCCCTGTGGGGGATGTGAGTGCAGATCTGCAAGAAAAAGAGCCCCCGGGAGCCAAAGCAGCGAGCGCAGAAAGTGCTGCGGGGCAGGAGGGGCTCAGCGAGGAGGCCGCGTTGCCCCTGTCACAGCATGAAGGTGTTGGCGGCGAGGCGGCCGCTGCAGTGGCACCTCCCGGGCAGGAGGCAGCTCCGCACGGCAACAGCCCTGACGGCGCCGAGGGTGCAGGCCGGGAGCCGGGTAATTTTGTGGGCACACCCCACGTAACTCCCCGCCACGGCGCTGAACAAAACCAGGAAGCGGCGGCCGCCTCGGCGGGGCTGCCCGCGCCGGGCCAAGCTGCCGGGCCCCTCGGTCATGAGGGAGAAGGCGGCTCTGCGGAGCAGAGCAGCTCCTGGCAGGCTGGTGGAGGCCAAGCCGAGCCTCCGGGAGAGGCTGATGCGGAGGCGGCCGTGCCAGGGGCGCCGCGCTCCGCTGCCGTGAGCGGCAGCCCGCCGGGGCCCGCGGCAGGCGGCGGCAGCGCGGGCACCGCCGGGCCCGGGCAGGCCCGCGGGGAGGAAGYGCGCGAGGCCCTGGATGCAGAAGTGGCCGCGCAGGGCCCCGGGCCGGGCGGCGAGTCAGCGGAGGCGGCGGGCAGCGCCCATATGGATGCGGGGCCCCCCCGAGGAGCTTCCCCACAGCTGAAGGACCCCTTGGACATGGAGGCGCCCGCAGCCACCTCTGTGGAGCRGGAGGCCTTCGGAGTGGCGGCGATGCCCCCGGAGTATCCGGGCGAGCAGGGGGAAATGGAGAGCGTGCTTCCCAGAGCCGCCCTGCAGCCCATCGCCGAGGAGCCCACGTGCGACAGCGACTCCAGCACGGACACAGTGTGCCCGGCCGGCGAGGGCAAAGCCGGGCGCGGAGCAGCCCCGGAGGAGGTCGTGGCCACTCCCGATGGATGCGGAGTGAATCCGAGCGAGGCCGCGGCGGCACCGACCTGCTCGCAGGCTCCGGGCCGTCTCAGCGCTGTTGAGTCACCGGCGAACGTGGGAGGGAAGAGCTCCCTTTCGGCAGATGATGGCTTCGCTCCGGATAAAGTTCCTAAAATGGTGAAAAGTTTTGACGCTGTTGTTTTTGCTTCGGAGACACCTTGTTCCCCCGAGTTACCAGAAACGTTACCYGCGTTGGATGCAGCGTCCAGCCTTAATGGAGAAATGGATCTAAGCTCCCCGGCAAAGAGGAGGAACGTCAGCCCAGCGGCAGGGGCACCTGAGCCTGCTGCAGGTATGAGAACTACCCCCAGTGGGTTTCTGAAGCACCACAGGTGTGCRGGGTTTCATCACACTGGAAAGGAAATAACTGCACGGGGCCTGCCTTGTAGAGGAAGTGTAGGGTTTTTTCCAAGAAGGAGGAAATCTGAAGTTGCGGTCAGCTAAAATGCACAGATTTGGGCTGCCCTGGGAGGTAAGAAAAGGGCATCATCCCAAATCTACAGAGACTTTTTTGCATGTCTTCTCTATGGAGCAAGGACAGCAGGAGAGGATAGGTAGCTTGCTGTCTCTCCAAGCAATGTGCCTTCCTTTGGGGGCTCAGTTTATTTGCTTGGAGCTAATTTGAGCTTTTCCATTAGTTTTGCCCTTTTATTTTTGCACAGGGCCTATTAACAGCACCATCTTGAAGTTTCTTTCCCAGCCTGCTGACACAGCTGCTCGTGTCCCTCTGAACTGTGCAAAGCCACTTCCTAATTGGTGGTATTAGGTCATTTAAAAAAGCGAGCGGGCCCTCCCTCCCCCTGCTCCCTTTTCCTGCCAGCGGAGCTTTTGTCCGGCAAAGCGGCCGCCTTGTTTTCCAGTGCGCTCCAGCCGGGCTGGCCCTCGGATGCTCCCTGCCTTCCTGGCGGCCGCGGGGAATAGGTGGCTCTTTGGGGACCGTTTAGACTCGGTGCAACATGAGCTAGGAGCAAACGTCATCAGGTAACTCCAAAAAAGCAAAAGGGAGGAGGGAGTTGGGGGGGAAACAAAGGGATGAACTGAGTGAGAAAGAGAGGATTTTCTCCCTCCAGCCTGGAATTAAGTCTTAGGTGGATTTGCTGCTGAAACGTGGAGCTAATCTGGTCTTTATATTCCACCTGTTTGGGCAGCTGTTAAGTGTAAGCAGCTGGACTTCTTCAGCTGCCAATGTTTTCTCTGCTATGGGAAAACTGTGTGGTGCATCTTCTTCTTTTACCACCACAGCGTAAGCAAAYGAGCAAAGGAAGATAGACAAGGTGTCAAAGTTCTGCCATGATTTAAATCATGGGGTTTGCAAGTTGCAAAGATATTTCTGTGCTTCATGCTGAGAGTTTTCTCCTCAATCTAAAGGCAGAGCAGAGTCATGGCAGCTGATTTGGCCAGATATTTGATAGCAGAGGAACTGCAGGGGGCTGGGGAAGGGGTTGGTTGTTTGGGGTTCACTGATGGCTTCAGCAAACACTTCTTTTGCCTGGAGTTTCAGTTTATTAGAAGAAGAAGTCAGGAGATAATTAGTGAACATGTGAGACACTCCAAGTGTGGATTAGCAAGCTGTTTTTAAAAGAAAGCTATTTTTGTGCAYGGGCAGATTGACATTTCAATGGCAGGGGAGTGGCTGTAAGGCAATACCTGGCGAGGCGCTTGGCTGCTGGGAGCGCCTTTCCCTGCTGCTCTGCRTGCTCGGGAGTTACCCTCCATGGATGGATTCCAGGTGGGATTTCTGAGGCCGTGGCATTATATAGAGACCCTGCTTTTAAGAGAAAGGACTAGACARTTCTGTGGACTAGTAACGAGTAGGAAAAAGTACCTTTCTCTTATTAAGGCTTCATTCTGTGCGAGGATTTTAGGAAGGAGAAGATGATGCTCTTGTGGATTTGGAATGCTTGTGGACTGAGTGTTTAATGATCCTGAAGTCCAGGAGTGCTCTCTCCGTAAGGAAGAGTCACTTATTTGTGATGTTGTGCTGCACAAGGGACGATCTTGGCTAGAATGGGCTCTTCCAAGGAATCGTGCTGTTGTATTATGTTGTGGAAGCCCCCAAAATGTTCATTTAAACCAAAGATGTTCATAGAAGAAGCATAATACTCTGAATCCAAGCTTGCCATGTAATACCCTGAAGAAAATTGCCTCCTATAGAGTGGAATCCGGAGCTTTTATATAGCAATAATTCAAGAGAGCAAGAGACTTGTTGCTTTTTAGTGTGCCCATTCTTTATACCAGTACCAGCCCAGCTTTGTGCAAGAGCCTTCTGCAGCAGCCTGCAGCCCTTGCCCGAGTTCTCCCTTTTGTTGCTGTTTCAGTGTTGAGCAGTTTTCCTTACAACCTCGGGCTTATTTACTTAGTATTTATTCTGTGGCTGTGCAGGAGCAGTTTCTGCTTARGAGAATGAATCGAATCTTTTTCAGATAGACTAGAATAAAATCTTTCTAACGGAAGTGTAGGTCATGAGGCCATTTCTCAGAAACATGTGCGGTCAGAGGTTTTTATTGTCTGCCTAAATAGTCAGAGATGGAAGAAGCTGATATTACTGTTGCTTGTACYCTAAATAATAGGGTCTGACTTTCTTTCTTAGTTATATTATAAAATTGCTCCTAAATATATCCTTGTTTATCTCATCACCTTTTATTACATTCAGACTGTTCCAAAAATAGAGACCTCAAAGGGCTAATTGYCTTATCCTGATAAATATCTAATTGAGCGCTCACCAAACTGAAGGAAGTTGAAGAGACGAGGAGATCCAACTTTTCGTAAGGCGGCTTCTCGTGTTGCTCTGAGCTTTTGAGTCACAACATCATTGCATCTGAGTAATAGGTTCTCCAAGCACGTTATTTACGAGTCAGGCGGGTGTCTGCTATTTTCCTTCAAAACCAAGCAGTTAGGACATGAAAGCAGACCACAATAGGCAGGCTGGGCAAGGAAAGAGGAAGCAGGGTATGGCTGAGCAGTGCAGCTGTGCTCACAGAACACCTACAGGTAGGTGCAGCTTCTTGGCAAAAAGTGATTCTGGCAAGGCTAGATTGTATAGCTGGGGTTGGATATCTTAAATTAACAAACACTGTGATCACTGTGTGCTGGCTTTTCCTCTCGGTGGAGTTTCCCTAATGACTCTTCTGAAAGGTCTCAGTCTTTGAAGACATTTGTTGCCAGGTGGAAATATGTCACCTTATTCTGAAYTTTAAAAGCCTTCAACTCATTCTTACCAAAGGCATTTTCCCTTTTTCGCTCCTTCTTTCCAAAGGCAGCTTGCAGCACCTTGTAGAGCAGCAGCGTGAATCGATAACAAATGTCACTAACAATCCAACATGTGCCRTGATGAACTTTGTGCCTCAAAGGCCTCTGTGGTTGTATTAAAATGCTTACAGAGTGCTCAGGATTATAGTGGAGGAAAGAAATGGTTCTGTTCTGTTGGCAAACTACAAATATTCTTCATCCTGGGGTGRTAAGGAAGTCAAAGCACAGCTCTGTGTCCAGTGTCAGCACACGAACAGTGTGTTTCCAGTGCTTGAAACTCTTGATTTTTATCTACCTGGACAATAAAATGAAGGTCTGATATTGCTAGGATTGAGCTGATGAAGTGTTAACTGAAGACCTCAAGAGGAGCAGTGTTTTAGGTACTCTGTACAGGACATCAGGATGCTGCAAGCGCTGGTCACGTTGTCTCCTCAAATCTAACACAAGAGAGAGGAGCATAAATAACAGAGGAAATCCCAAGCAGAACTGGGAATGTTCTGATTTTTTTCTGATGCCTAGTGCTGTGTTTCAGCACATGACTTGCTTYTCCAGCTGTTACACATCATGGGGTGTCTTCGTGCTGCCTGTGTCACCCATTCCCAGTGTACCAGCAATTTCAGCCTCATGTTTTCTAACTTTTGGACAAATTCTGAACAGTCGTGGCCCACTTTTCCCTATGGGATATGCCCTGGGAAGAGTAAGGCTTCCTTTCTGGCCACTAACATGGAGTCATTTGCTGCAACCTCCAGCCATTCTCATCGTGACCATGATCACTGCTTTGCCAGCAAACAGGGTTCTCAGAAATTTGTGTCATTAGCTCTAATTTTGCAGAGTCTGCCATTAGTAACACACAAACTGATCTAATGGAGACAAAATTATGACCATTTGACTTAATAATTTGAGATTAGTTTATCAGTTGTAGACTGCAAGTTTGTTATATTTCGTTATTATCAAAATATTTTCATCTTTACATTAATTCCTGGTAGGTGTCATGAATCATTAACACAGTGATAAAAAGGAGCGTTACAACTTCAATTTTTATGCTAAGGAAAAACAGCCAGAAAGGAAACCCTGCTGAATGGTGACCAGTAGAGGCTTTCGTGTCTTTGCTGGCCAGAGAGAACAGCTGGGACATGTTTGTACCACTGCTGTGGTGACACTGTCACGGTGGCACGAGGAAGGGGGAAACCAGCTGTAAACTCCCCAGAGAAGGGTTTGTCTTTCTAGCCCAGAGATAAAATCATCCTCCCTAAGGCAGTGCGGAAGAGCTAAGTTTTTGAAGCTGGCAATATATTAAACCCTTGAAATACCAGTCAGCAAGACAGGTCTCATTTCTTGCATTGCGCTTAGGTTATGGTAAGAAGAAAAAGGCAAAAATTTTGATTGTGCAACTGGACTAGGGGAGCCAAATTAAAAAAAAAAATGCAGGCAAATACCTGCAGATAAGCTGAGCTTCACCTAGAGCCTGTCAGGCRTTTTGCAGCCTTCCCTTTTGCTCATGCTCGCTGCTGTTTCATAGTTTCCTTTGGTCCTAGACACGATAGTTGTTAAAACTAATAACAAACAAGCAGTGAAGACAGGAATGAAACCAGATGTTGGAAGTAAAATGGACTTGTTGAAGGCTGGGGATTTTGGGGGCTTTTTTTTTTCCATTTTTTTTCTTTGAGACTGGTTTGAATAAACAGAAAAATATCAGCAGCTCTGAGAGAAGTTTGTTTTTAAATTGCCTGTGCGAACCTTCTGCTTTTACAGGGAAGCTGGAAATGAAAACTGAAGATGAGGTGGACTTTTTGAAAGATCAGAAAGAGAGCCCAGCCTGTGAGGCAGCGGTAAGTGTCCCTTACATGTTGTTACCTTTATTTCTTTTTGTGCCTTTTAAAGAACTGTCAGCAACGCTGTGGACTGCCACCTAAAGGGCTGATTTCCTTTCTCTCCTCTTTGCAAGGCTAAACTTRGGTTTTCATTGTGACTTCTTATTTTAGCCTCCTGAAAATAGCATGGCCTTTTTTTGGAACCTTTTTTTTATTTATTTAAGACCTTTCATTTTTAAGGCACTCTGGCTTACGCCGTATTTAGGTTGTCTCAGTCTGTGCGATGCAGTTTGACCTGATAGGTTTTCTCTGCTGCAGCCTTGTTCAGAAATMCGTAGGAATAAGGTTATTTTGGCTCTTTGCTGCACCCCTGAGACACAGCTCCTGGATAAGAGGGATGCCCATAGAGGGTGAGRGATGGGGTGGGTGCTGTGAGCTGGCCCTGTTTCCAAGCAAATGGTGCTTTCTTGGAATAGAAATGTGCCTTTGAAAGACATGTAGGGATCAAACGGGAGGGAAAACCCCACCTACCCAACGCAGGTGACCCTAGAGAAGATGTGAAATGTGTAGGCTTGGCTTCACCTTCCTGCTTCCCCTGCAGCCCCGTGGCTTGCTGTTCTTAAGGACTGTCTGCAATAACATATAAGCATGTCAGACTTGATGGGGATGTAATTTTGATTTAATCTATGTATCCTGCTTAATCAGGAGCTGGATTTGTCGGTTTTACCTTTCTTTCTTGGAGCATTTACTCCTCCGTGTTATACATAGGTTCTTGTTCCTGAAAAAGGCTGTGTTTTGCAAATGCTCATTTGCTTGCAGCCTGTGTCGCTGCACGTTGCCGTTGAGCAGCTGTGTTTGTGTGCTAGCTTGCAATTACGGAGCTGTTAAAAGAGAAAATATTGTGGAGATGAGTTAACATTACAGGGTGGAGCACCAAAAACCTTGCTCATCCCACAGTAAAGCTCTTTAGGCAGCGCAACAGTCCTGCCAAAGCCTGTAATAAAATGAGGTTAATTTTGTTTTTAACAAGTTAAGGCTTAATTTCTCTAGCTGTTAGCTCAGTGAGTTAACCGAGGAATAGAGCTAATAATTCTCCAAGCTAAAATTTGTCCTAATAAATAAGTCTTTTATATTGAAATGTTTGAATGTAAAGGTGCTAATTTTTTGTAGCCATCTTTTATTATGGATAATTTTCATGACTAATACTTGGGCATCTGGTGGCAAAGGAAGACGTGTTTAGAAAATGCAAATAAATAGAAACCCTGCCAGTGTTTTATTTCAAGTGACCTTCCTCTTAAATGAGGAAAAGGGAGAAGGGACTGAACTCTGCTTCCATTTTGCATGTTTTACGTGCATATAATTTTGTGTTTGTGTGTGTCCTTATCTCTTCTCTCCCCCTCTTCCCTCCCGCCTCACCCAACACCTCTTTAGAAATCTGGCTTTTCTGGTGCAGCCCTGGGAGTGTCGGGGGGAATGGAAAGTTTGCTGCAGGAGTGACAGGGTTTCCTGTTGCTACGTTCAACAGAAACAAAATAACAACTGCTCTATATTAAGGTCATTTAAAAAAAAAAACCCAGCCCTAGACTTATAAATAGAGCTTAATTCACACGTGTAGGTTGAGCGGGGAGCRGGCCAGCGAAAGCAAACACGAGCTGCGTGGCTCCTGCCTTGTGCTTTGTCTCCGCTTTATTCCGTGTTGACTTTCCAAAGCCAGCAGTCCTTCAGGTGCTCGTTGCCCTCTCATTAGAGAGCCAATTTTGTGGTTAGTAAGAGCGGCTCGCTTCGCTCGACGCAAATAGAAATGATGTTCCTTGCATCTTGCCGTGGAGCGCGGTGTGTTTTAAGTTGTAGTGCTCTTGGGAGCCCTGGTTAAAGGAGGTTGGGAGATGCATTAGCTCTTGGCTCGTAGGTGGGCGTTTTACACGCTAATATTCATAGACATGCAGTGTGGAAAGCAGTTTATGTATTCAGACTATAAAAAAAGAAGTTAGAGACAGAAATTTCTCATGTTTTTGAATCAGACTGGATGACAATAAGCTTAAACTCGTTGGGAAGAGAAGAGGAGAAAATCTTTCATTTGAATTAGTCTCTTAACATGAGGAATTATCTGGATTCTTGGTGCCGAGGACTGTACTCAAGTTGCTTGTATAAGATCCACGTGCTTTCACCTATAGTCACTGCAGAGGAGTGCCTGAGAGAGGCACTTGTGCATGTCATGGAAAAGTTGCAGCTGAAAAGTGTTTAGAAAAATAATGGTTTTCAGGGTTGTAAACACTGAAAAGAAAATAATGGAAAAATTATCTTTTTTTAGAGTGACTGTTTCTTAAATCTCYAGCATGTTTTCTCTGAGTTTTTATTTATTCAGTTTTAGAAATTCTGTAATAAAGATCTTTCAGGTTCTTCTCACGTCTGACAGCCTGTGCTCTTAAGTGTCCRTCCTGCCTGGGACTCCATGGTTCTCATCTAGCTCGTGCGTTTGGCAGTGCTGAGTGGAGCTGAGGCAAGAACTGGATGGGATCAATTAAAACAGAACTCTAGCACTTTTAAACTAGGACATTTTTACATTCTTAGCGCTAATAAGAAGTCTGTTTTGGCAGATATTAAAATAATTACTATTAAAATAACTTGAAAGTGGAGCATAGTGGCTCCAGCACTATCTTCACATAGAATGAAGCTCAAGTAATGTGATTTGTGCTTTCATCTGTCTGATCCAGCTATTGCAGTAATATGTGATACATCAGCAGTGTCACTTTCTGGGGAGAAACGACTTGTTTTGTTCAGTGTTTTCAGTAAAGATTCGGAAAATGGGAGTGCATTTGTACTGCTTGCAGCTGACGTCAGGCTGGGAGGGGTTGCAGGCGCTTGGGAGAATAGGGTAAGAGCTAAGAATGACCATAACAAATTGGAGAGTGTATCCAGATAGAGATCAAGACGTTTCAAGGTGATTCATTTACAAAGAAGTCAAAATGCATATTTACTAAGTCAGGATTATGGAGTAGGGAAGCAGCGGAGAGCAAAAGACCCAGGATTTTTAGTGGACCATAAATTAAGCGTGAATCATCGGTGAGAGGCTATTGCAAAAGCGCTGCGTCGTGTTTTGGGTGATGTTAAAGGAGCGTCATCTGTAAGACCCAGGAGGCAGCTGGCACTGCTGGGGTCTCTGCAGTGAAAGCAACTCAACCTGTGGGTGCCCTGCCTGAAGGAGGCTAYGGACATGCGGGAGGTGAAAATGGGAGGAGAGAGAAAGAAATGAGAGAAAAGGTGGAAATAATTATATTTATTCAGTGTAATGAAAACTATTGCACAATATAGCACTCCTCCAGTATGTAAGCGTCATTATTACAGTTGTGGATTTCTGTGGCAGCTTAATTTAGTGATTTGTTAATTTGCCAGGATGATTTAGATTGGATATTGAGAAAACTTCCTGTTATCATCAGGAAGCCGTGGGGAGACCACCAAGGAAGGATATGCAACCTCCTTCCCTGCGAGCTGTTAAGGGTAAGATAGACAGCAGCTGTCAGGGGCAGTGCCCTAGGTCTGTTGTTATTGGTGGTTTTTGATTTGTAGGTCCCTAAATTGTGGATTTTTTTTCTTTTTCTTTCCTTCTCCTGCAAGGGTTCCTGTGTGTTTCACACAGGCACATGCAGCGTGTCCGTGAGCTCCCTTTTCTTCATTGCTTTTTTCTTTGCTGCCTTTCCAAACCCTTGGAGAATCACAACCCACAACCGGGAGTGAAAGCCATGAGTAGGTTCTTTAGGTAGCAGCAATAGGCCAAGCAATCTCTGCACATCCTTTCTAGCCCTACATGTTTCTGCTGAAGGAATTTTCTCTGCCTGGGTGGGCTTTTTCACAGCTGCAGCCTGCAAAGAGCTCTGTGAAGGATCCAATGTGGGGCTACAGGAGCTGAGCAGGGTTTTCCCTTTGGCTGCACCTCTCCGTGGCAGAGGATCCGCAGGAGTTGCTGCGTGAAGGACCTGAGTAATCGGATTACGTTGTCTTGCTTCCAAGGACAATTTCTCTCTTCCTCCCAGCACAGAGAAGAGGAAGAAACTGCTTGGCGAGTCCCATTGAATGCATGGAGGATGATGGAAACATGGAGAATTGGAGAAGAAAGGACAGCAGAAAGGAAGTAGGATAAGGGAAGAGGGAAAAGCTACTGTAGATGATGGAGACGGGAACAGAGAATGAGCAGGGTTGGATGAAAAAGGTTCATGGGTTACAGGAGAGATTCCCATAGCAGTGAGGAAGGTTTGGAGATGGAGAGTGGGTGAGAAGGCTGGAAGCATTCAGGGGTTTGTCCTTCCCTCTCACTGTATGGTGGCAGTTCTGGGCTAGATGCACCGTGTGAAACTCCCTAGTGGCTGGTTCCTTGGRATGGGAAGAGTCTTTTATTGAAGCTGTTTGGTTAAATCAAGCAGTCGACGTAGTGCTTCATGGCTCAAAAATGCTGAGGTTCAATGGTGACTCAAAGCAAGGGGTCATTGTAGTTCGGCAGGATACAGTTTGGGGTTTATTTTCTTAGGAAAATAACTTCTTTCACAGAATGTTCAGCCTCTAAAGCTGCCCGCTCACCCCGAGGAAACAGCAGAGTTCGGGTCACTTGTACTTGTTGCAGCCACTTGACTCCGCATGTCCAGATAGATGTATGTGTGCTGGGCTTAGCTCCAGGGTGGCACAACTGCAAGCTACATTTTACCAAAGGACCCAGGGAACAACATGCAAAACATCTGTCCATATGGCTGAAAGGGTTGGTTATACCCAGATCAAAACGGGATCCTGTGGCAAGAAGTCACCTCAGAATCACAGGGCTGCAACGACAGCAAATGTGTGCCAGACCTGCCTAACAGGAGGTTGTCCCCAGATCAAGAGGGTGACACACGCACAGGGTCAGGACAGCGGCTCCTCACCAGCAAGGTGCTTTCTCACACCCATCACGAAACACAGGCCACAGACACTTAAAAGTGGGGAAAAAAAATAAGGAACTCAAACCAGCCTGGGCTCGTTGTTGGTGTTTATTTTTCCTCCTGCTTTAGAGCCTGTAGCTGGAAAGCACTTACACAACYGTCACGGAGCAGGGGGAAGGGGGTTGTCTTCCAGTTCGTTTCTGTGGGCGCTGCAGTTGCAGTTCCTTCTCTCCCGCACGCTGCTCACGCTCATCCCAGTGCGGCCGCTTCCAAGTTCACATGCCGGATTCAGGGCTGTTAGCAGGAGCAGCCGGGATGCGGAGGGCGCCCAAACCCCGGGCTCGCTGCACGCCGGTGCAGCCGTGTAGCCTCCCTGTGGCCTCCCTGCAGCCCTCGCTGAGCTGCACAGGTTGCGGCTGCTTCTCTCCCCCTCTGCCTGTCCTCCCTGCACCGCGGGCAGGGCTTTCCAAACGCCGAGGCTGCTGCAGACAGCCCGATGCTCTGTTTTATTTGAGAATTTCCGGCCAGCCCCTCTGACCGCCGAGCTGTTTGCCGCGTCCTGCCCCGAGCTGAACGCCATGGAGCGCTGCTGCAGGGCCTGCTGCTTCTGCTCGCAAGATGTGCTCTGCAAACAGCCCACTGCAAGGCAGGATTAGCTGCTCCGCCGTGCAGACTGTTAGTAAACGTGTGTTGCCAAAATCATTTTTCCAGTCCTTTGTTTTGGGCTTGGGAGCTGCTCTCGCCCTAATAAAACCTCTGGCTCTGCTTTCCTGCCCGTTTCAGCTGCACAGGAAGTTTGTCCCTCAGCTTTGTCACACCAAATTATTAAAGGCGTCACCAGCTACCTGCAGTTTAATTTGCCCTCTGCAAAGGCGGCTCTGCAGACTGCTGCCTCGCRGGCAGGACTGTGCTGTGCTCTTGGGCTCCTCTCGCATGGATGCTGCTCCAAGGCAAGTTTTTTACAACTTAAATCTTCTGCAGTGATTGCTTTTGCTTGTTTCTGACTTGGTTCAGAGAATGGATTTTAATTCTATGGATTATTTAATGCTAGTATGTTAGAGAAGCTTTCTGAGGACCTATTTAGGATCAGGTTTGCCCCACAAAGCTAAGAGATTTCCGATATCCTAGAAGAAATGCTGTTTTTTGGAAATCTTTTTTCAGTGGTTAGATGTATTTTTTATGTAATCATAGAAGAGTGGATACATGAAATAATGGATATGTAAGGCTGTTCCCATGGCAAAGGAATGGTAATATTGAATATTGCACCTTTTAGAGGAAAATACTGTTCTGTTTTTCAAGGGCTCAATCTCCTGTATCATATGGATTCTTTTATTTGTACTTGAAATCTCTTGAAGTTTTGTGGTGTAACTGTTCTATGGTAGGCATGGTTACTACACACTTAATTCCTAGTCTAAATAGAAGGAAATTATGATGATAACATAGGAGACCAAATGTGGACCATTCAGTGGAGACTGCAGTGTTATGACAGCATAGCCTTTGGTGTATCACATCTTGGAGCTTCTATTTTTCTGAAAAAAAAAAAAAAAAAAAACCAAAAAAACTGGCTCCTTTCTGATACTTTGGAAGTTGAAGTTGGCACCCTGCAATTTGGAAAGCCAAATGTTTTCAGTTTTCTATAAAGTAATGTTGTTCAGAGCTCATAGGGAGTTACAGTGTCTTAGATAAAGAACTTCCCAGCAGGAATCATTAATGCAAGAAACAGGCTTTTAGTTTCAGTTWTTGTAGTATTAGCCTGGTGTTTTGTGAGGCATCAGGCGATGATTTTTCACTGGTACCATCCTACACTAATAAAGTTTTGTATGTAACTTTTTTTCATCTTTTTTTATCTTAAATGTTTCTGCGGTCATCATCTGGAGGTGAATATGGGCATTTTACTGCAGGAAGTGAGTATTTAARTCTTAGAAATCGCATGAAGCTGCTCTGCTTTAAAGGTGCTGCTGCTTGAAGCTGAATGTGTAACCTGAGGTGTTGGGGAGGAAGTGTTGAATAGCAGGACATATTTTTAAGTATTACTTTGGGTAGTACGATGTAGCAGCCTGCTGCTTTTTTAGGTGTAGTTCTTCTGTGACAAGAGGCTTCAGTGACTCGAGGAAAGGTCTCTGTGACAATTCACGCCAGGTCTAGAAAGTCCCCTGC